TGGCTCTTTGTCTACACTATATACTGGTTCTGTAGTTTAGTTAATCCCAATTTAGTGTACAGTATGTGTGTGTGTGTGTGTGTGAGAGAGAGAGAGAGAGAGAGAGAGAGAGAGAATAATATGGTAAAATAAATTGAGTGTACCATTGCTTAGAAGTGCGAAAAAGGCTTTTTTGACCACGAGTTGTGTGTCGAAGACGACTAATTTGGCACTGACTGGGATCAGATCATAACACCGGTAGAATTTGAAAAATTTCACATAGATTAGGTTTTCATTATCTGTTTGGGAGAAACAATGGATCATGGTATATTAATCTATTAACATGGTATTTTAACTTGTATTCATTTGTATAAAACAGCAATGATCACGATTTTAATTGAATTTGACAATTGTGTGTTGAGATAAATCTATCTATGTTAAATTCAAACTGAATCAACGAGATGTGACTAGTATTATAATTTCTAAACATGCACAATTCATCTAACATTTATCATAATTATTAGATTTAAATACTGTTTAATCATTAATATCAACACACAATTGAAATTCATATTATATATCGTGAATCGACTGTAGTTATCAATTTGTAATTAAGTAAATAAAAATTACCGAGATCTTCGAAGTCGAATCTATCACAGATAGGCTCTCCCGAACCGAATAACTAGATGAAACAAAAAATAATTATAAATAAATACTTAATTAAATATCTCTTAAGGCAATCATTCAATTCATTGATCAAAATCTAAAAATATATATTTAATTAAATATATATTTAATTGAATATAAATTTATTACTAAAAATAACACAATTATATAAAAAACATAATGATTGAAATTCAAGATCATAATCAATTTAGCGATACATTACTTTCCACCTACCACGGATACATTAAATTATTATATCTATTATATCTACTATATTATAACTATAAATAATGTATTTTTAAGTGTATTTAAGTTTATAAAAATAAAGCTATAATTTTACCACTCTGTAATACAATCATCTAAAATTATCCCGGGCATTAAATATCACCTAACATTTAATAATACATTTCATTCAATATTTTATAAATCATATGACATTATATTTTCTTTACGATACAAATACTATAGAAAATTACAATTGTTTTTTGATTATTATTTTTAAAAAATAAAATACTAATCGATTACAAGTGCAGAGAAAGTTAGATAAGATTATAGTAAGAAATATAAATTACTAAAAATACATTAAAGTCTCTTTTATTGTCAACGATATAAAAACTAAAATAATTTAATCGTTTTGCAAACTGATGGTGAAATTTCAATAGAAATTACATAGATTTATATACACTTAAATGAATGTATAAATATATACATGTATGCAAATGTGTATAAATAGATATCTAAAACTCAACAGCCCAGACACAATGGTAGTTGACATTCAAGAATGTAAATTACAATTACAACAATACGCTTATCATTGAAACAGAATATTCTGTATTCAAAAAATTTATTTTTGTTACAAAACAAATGGCATGATAAAATTGTTGTATCGAAAACACACACAACTAAACAAATTATTTGAAAAATCAAATTAAAACAAACAGCATATAAAACTAAATAAATAAATTAACGATCGTGATCAAAAATCATTAATCATGATAAGTTACGATATAATTCATACCACAGTTGAATGGGTTTTAAGAAATTTTCGCCGCAATTTTCGGACCGCCACTTGCATCGCGGTCATCGGTAAGCGGGTTTGTATTGAACCGGGTGTTTGTGCCCTCACAATAGCACCGGGAGGTCTGGTGGGGGTGTGAGTTGTATTTGTAGTCTCAACCGAGTATTATTATTTGTCCGTTAATTTTGCAGTAACCGCAATATTCACATTCACATTGACTATTGTGTATACATTTATACATAACGTAATCGTATTATACGTATATTTAATTATTCATGTATTTATAAACTACTTAACACTGTATTATTTAATATAAATTATATCGTTCATTCATTTCGCAACATATTATATGTAGATAATAAAAAACATAACAATAATATATCATTCAATCACAATAATCAATACAACACAGAATATTCTTCATGGCATTGCGATCATGTGTGTACTGTATATATGTTTTCCCACTCATATATACTGTGGTAATAGATTTATATATAAATATAACACAAGAATTATATATATATTTGTCTGTATATATACACATGTATTACAAAAATACCATTTTTGTTGTTATATTTGTTGTTAACATATGATTGCGAGAGAGAGAGAATGTGAGAGATTGTGTGGATAATTGTTA